AGTTTTCCGACGAATAAGTTTAATCGACGAGAGTTTTCCGACGAATAAGTTTAATCGACGAGAGTTTTCCGACGAATAAGTTTAATCGACGAGAGTTTTCCGACGAATAAGTTTAATCGACGAGAGTTTTCCGACGAATAAGTTTAATCGACGAGAGTTTTCCGACGAATAAGTTTAATCGACGAGAGTTTTCCGACGAATAATTTTAATCGACGAGAGTTTTCCGACGAATAATTTTAATCGACGAGAGTTTTCCGACGAATAATTTTAATCGACGAGAGTTTTCCGACGAATAATTTTAATCGACGAGAGTTCTCCGACGAATAATTTTAATCGACGAGAGTTCTCCGACGAATAATTTTATTCGACGAATAATATTAATCGACGAGAGTTTTCCGACGAATAAAGATACGTTTTTTTTCGACGAAAATTTATCCGATGAATATAGATACTTTCTTTATCCAGTGATGATTGCAAACCTTGAGTTCCTTTCATATCTTTGATGACGTGTCTGTAAGTGCTACAATTTTGTAGATAGTTAGAACAGGTCTATATCACTGTCTATTTCTTTCTATCAAGTAGTACAGGCATTCGTTAAAAATTATTTTTGCATTTTTATCTTTCCCACTCCAAAATTGCATTCGCTTGACCTTCTATCCGGCTGCAGAGATATATATCTTTAAATTTTGCTTTGCATATTTGCAAAACTATGCATTCAAGATTTGACGTATAAAAAGCAGCGGCTCTTTACCCAGAATGAGAATTCTCTAAGATATAATTCTAAGAAGAATCCTAAATTAGATGAAAAATGTTGGAAGAAACGTAAATTAGATGCAAACGTTGCTCTTTTAATAACTGTAATAAGTTGAAAATAATGTAACGATCACCTTAAATTCCTGCAACGTCTTCACAGTTTTGTATTCAACCGATTCATTTTTATCATAAATTCATCAAATCCGTGATCTAAGACTGCCAAATGATTTCACAAAATTGCTTCATGCAACGACAATATTGACTTTCCAAAATCAACGGAAAGCACGCCGAAGAAACGAAGATGACAAATTTCCTATTCCTTTCCAACACTTGTGTAAATGCTTGGGGGATCGGAATTCAGGTTGAGAGTCGTAGAGAGTCACGTAATATTCGATTACGCTCGATTATATCCGCCCGAACGACCCGTTCTCTCGGCGAAGACGCTCCCAATGACAGTCCTCGGTATTAACGCCGGGGAATTCAATTAAGCCGGCAAGAATCCGCGGCCGCAGAGGGACAGAGGAGTGTTCCGGAGAAAGGCAACCCTTCCCTCTCATGATTGCCGCTAATAACCTCTGTAGTTGCGGGTAACATGCAGCGGCATGGGGCGGCGACGCGTCGAAGCACGTGCCTTCTCGAGGGTTAATTTATTTAAGTCGAGGGCTCCAGCCGGCCGCACGAGGTGTCTCGAGAGGGCGTCCCGGCCTAACGTCTCAAATTTGACTGCACTCAACGATTCGTGAACGTTAATTAAAGCTCCCGCTGAATGGGGCAAGCCCGGGGAGCATGGAAATCGCCGGCGCATGGACGAAACGGCCGAGGGTTGATTAGGCGGTTCGGATTAGCCTACGATTTGATGATTGATGTTGGGAACGCTCGATGTATGACCACCGATGAGCAATTTTTAACTTAGCACAACAGAGACTCTTTTATCTGAAGGTTTATTTTTGTAACATCCTGATAGCAAAACGTTTTATTATTTAAAAATTTCATTCGAGTTTTATGCTAGGCGATAATGTATTTGGAATACAATTATGATTATATAATATTATAATAAAATGATTAGATAATAGAATGTTTGGATAGCAGAATATTTATGTAAAAATAAATATTCGGATAAGGGAGTCTTTATAATATAATATAATTGTGTATAATATAATTATATTGATAATGTATTTGGAATACAATTATGATTATATAATATTATAATAAAATGATTAGATAATAGAATGTTTGGATAGCAGAATATTTATGTAAAAATAAATATTCGGATAAGGGAGTCTTTATAATATAATATAATTGTGTATAATATAATTATATTGATAATGTATTTGGAATACAATTATGATTATATAATATTATAATAAAATGATTAGATAATAGAACGTTTGGATACCGGAATATTTATGTAAAAATAAATGTTCGGATAAGGGAGTATTACAGTACTTGCATTTCGTAGGAGATGCATTTATTCACATCATTCTTTATGTAAGAGCATATATTTCTACAGTTTAGAAGAGTTCTATGGTTATTTTAACCTCTTTCTCTATAACAATGAGTCAGACTTATGGTGAAAATTTCATACGAATGATATTTATTTTGTTCAAGTCGATCGAAGTTTGATTCTTCCGTAATCAGAATCTTGCAATTAAAGTAAACGTTGAAAACGAAGAAGTGCTAATGAATATAGCAACGAATGAAATTATAGTGCAAGGGGTTAATATAATAGCAGGTTGTCTTCGATCTCGTGAGACTTGCCTCGAAGAGATGCGGCTTTGATTAATCGCATCGTTTGTAGAAGTTGCCTATAAAAGCAGAAAGTATAATCATCCACAATCTTGTAATAATTAGACTTCGTATAAATTTTTCTTTCCACAGCCAATTTCAAACACAATATACAATTAAATTAATTCCATTCCCACCGTAAATGATTCCAACGAGTCCAGTATCACCCCTTGCGTCAACTATATGTAATACAATAAACATCTACTTTTTATTTCTCTGTAAAATCGTCCTATATTCTTAATAAATAATAGCGAAATTTCAGCAGATTTTTACACTTACGTTGCGCACGTTGTTTCACAAAAATCAGAATAATCTTCTGAAAAATGCAATGAAAAATACTACGATACTGTGTTCAAATACAAAAAAAAATTCAGTCTAATTGGAACGAATCTATGGTCGGAAAATGTACATTGAGAGAAAGTTACAATTTTCTCGAACGATGCAGAAGATCGTTTGAACATTGCCGCAAGGTAAACGCTGCTTTCGATGAAATTGTGCAGAAAGCAGTTTCCGGAAAATCGTGGGTCGTGACTGAATTATACAGTCTAGTGGGAAACGAGGTGTCGGACGAGTTAGATGGAAAAGCTGTAGGACGCATCCCCGGAAGACGTTCAGGGAGCAACGAACGTCCGCTTCCCGAGTTCGATCGGTGCTTTCATCGGCGATTAAATCGGTCAGGCATTATATAAATAGAAGGCCGTGTCATCGTGACGAGCGGCGATAACTCAGATTTCGCAACTGTCCGCGAACTGGATCCAAGGTATCCGGCCATACTTGGATGTGAGCACGCGACTGATTACTTTAATCGCTTCGCGGAACAATCCGTCCGGCGAACGACATTCTCTCCTCTCTTTCACATTTTCTGCCTCGCGGACAGTCAGTCAGTCAGCTTCGCGACCAGTTTTCACGTGCATCTCTGCGTGCCGTCGTATGAACGCGGCCGGAAAAATATATATGTATATGCACGTAGATGCGACCGTATTCTAATTTTCGAATCGCAATCTGCATGAATAATTGTTGAATTGCGCATCCGTCGCAGACATTCGCGAGAACGTAATGTTAGGTTTCTAAGAATTTTCTGTTAGTTCTGTACAGAGTTTACCTTTTTGTAGTTAGAGTTAGAGAAAGCAGATACAGAATGATTATTATATTGTTCCAGCTTAACCCTTTCGCTACGGCAGCTCCATCCGAAGAAGTACCGTCACCGAACGGAAACTCGCTCCGGAAATATGCACAGTGCGCGTGGTTTCTGTATATATGTTGTTCTAAGTCTTAAATAATAACTGTGCCGAATAAAACAATCGTTGCTCTAATGTAACAAGTATATTTACATTTTTAATTTAAAAAGACTTGCAAAATTATAGGTAACATAGGTATTTATATAATTGCAAAGCCTTGCGATTAAATGTTTAATATAATTAATAACGAGACGAAAATTATTAAAAGGTAATAATATGTAAAAACTAATAATATAGTTCTGTATGATATATTTGAAAGCAAGGGTCTATACAAAGGCCAACACCGCAATCTTTGCACTCGTACCGCGAATCCGTTCTTTTATCATTTTTGCTACAAATTACACATCTCCGTCTTCTGTATACACTTCGTTTCGATGCCGCATATATGCGGCGCCCGTACCCACAGGTCGTCGAGTGGATGCCGCATATATGCGGCGCTCGGTGCGAAAGGGTTAAGAATGTGAATAAATCGGAAGCACGGTCAAAGTTTCCAGTAGAAACATTTGAGAAGTGTTTTGACAAGCTTTGGACTTGTCCTGATTCGTGTGACCGATTTTAATAATATAATACTTTAACAACATAATATATAACATATCGCGAAAGGGTTAAGCAAAATTCCAGGTAAGCAACATTGTCGTCTTGTGCATTGTGTCAATGCAACGAAATGTAAACATAATTTTTGTGGAGTACTATATCAAATGTTGGTTTCAGTATGATTGTGAGGTTCTGTGCAATTTTTTTTTCTAACAATGTTGATAAAGAAAATCAACGTATCATAGATTTTTAATTAGGCGAATAAATGTATCGTTATTTGGCCTATCTGCATCGCAAGGAAGAACGAAAGATAATTTCCTTATCGTCTATCCGTTTGATCTTTCTAACGATCTTATTATCGTCAATTGTTTCGTATACAATTATTGAAATTGAGATCAGTGCACAAAGTTTTTTCGTAGATATTAGAATGATTAATTCTTTCTCTTCTTTTCTTTTATGATAAAGAAACAAAATTTAACCAAACGCGATTGGGCTTTTACTGTATTGAACTGGTTTCAATACAGAAGAGATAAAAAAAAACATTGCAGTGACGAAAATACGTCATCTTAAATCGAAAAACCATTCTATTGAATTTTCATCTTCGCGAATAATAAGATATGAATGCGTGTAGATGTTTGTAGGACAATGGCGGTGTTGTATGTGTATCGAATGGAAAACAGGAAAACTCACCGTTTCGGAGGCGACGGTCTTCACTTCCGCGATCAGCGAAGCGGCCGGTGAGAGATAAGTTCTGAGGAAGTTCTCCAAGTTGCCGTGATAAGCACAGACCAGGATGTCCCGGGCCTGTCGTATCAGCAGATTGATAACGCCATCGCCGTAAATCGGGCCAAGCAAGTTCCGGACCAACGAAGCGACGTCTCCGCGACCCTGTAACACAGGAACCCTTTCATCAGCGATTAAATATGCCGGGATGCTGGGACCCTTATCCCTGTTCAATGTTTATGGCGCACGAACAGTTCAATCAACGAAAATAATTCAACTAATTTATCGATAAAATAATTTACGGCAAAGTTAATTAGTAGTAACTTAATAATTTATTCCATTTGATTACGACTTTATTCCACTGAATTGCAATAACCAATTATTTCTACAGCTTACTGCATGCATTTTTGATTATATAACGAAGCAGCGTTGCGAATAACGTAATTTTCCACAGGATTTTTATGCCCGTTATACGTCGGGTAGAAAAATAACGAGCCATTATCACATTTACGGCGCATCCGAATGAAAATTGATTTGATTCGGGACGACGAATAATAACTATAATAAAATTATATCCAGTTACTTTTAACCTTTCGAAAGCGTTTGCGAACAGGATTACGTTTGATTTAATGCCTGTGTGTTTAAATCACTTTTAAGAAGTACGAGTTATTAATAAATATAATAGCCCGAGCGTTTGTGAATTGTAAATGAACGCTTGCTGGCAACAGGTTCGCTCGCTTGTATAACTAAATGATTTTATTATGCAACGGTGATATTAAGCTTATTCGACATCGCCACTGACCTGTTCGCTACCAATAAGCCATATAAATATTATATAATTAAACGAGTAATGTTCGCAATTTGTTTATAAGTTTATGTAACCAGCCTCGAACAAGCCCGCACGCTGTTCGGAAAATGAAAGAGCATCGAAGGCGAATGAAATAATGGCAGATTGTGGGTGTTCGTACAATTTTAGACCACTTTCACCGACTCGATGGATGCTCGCCGCGAATGATCCACTATCAACAGGCAACGTAAAACAAGATACTCGAGTATTGTTGGGATTTATCATGATATACTCCTACATCCTCGCAGGAGCAAGTGCTCGCCGGAGTAACGCGATATGGTGTTCCGATCTCCGCACGATTGTGCCGATGATGTTTGAATGATTATCTCGAGGGTGTCGTTAGCTTATCACGATTCCAAAGAATCCTATATAATTTCGCGTATTATCCTTCTATCGCGTACGAAACATCGCGGTCACTTTTTCGTCGAGTCGATTGTTATTTAAAAACGAGCAGAATGTTCGATCTTCGAGCACCGTTCAAGAAATTCGATAAAAATGAAATTGATCCAAAGAAAAAAGGCGTGTAAACTACCTTCGAATAAAGGAGAATATTGCTGTAGTTTTATTATAAACCTTCACGGACGATGTAGCGAAAATTATGCGATAAATTTGACGTTGCACTATGCTCTCTGTTTTCGAGATAATCGACTTCGAGAACCTGCGGAGCGCAAACGTCGTAGAATTGTCTAGCGTGTCTGTTCGTGGTCGACCGTTTCTACTTACTCGAACGAATTTTATGTTCTACTGAACGAAACACAAATTTGCATGGCATGTTTTTCTGACTTATTATCTCAATCAGGCTTACTCTTAGACGATTTATAATTCACAACAGTATAAAGACTGCACTATGTAAAGATTTCCTTTACATTTATTGGCTTGTATTTTCGTGATAGTATGCTATTGATAATAATAACAGATTTAATAGAAAATAATAACATTAATTGTAATAAATTGTATTTTTCATCTGTAATATTTTCTTCTTTTTTTGTTGAAATTCCTGTACTTATATTACATAGTTGATTATTAAAAGCTCGTGAAGAAGCTCCTGTGTTTGATTCTATAATTTCAGTCTCTATTTTGTTAAGAACAGGCGCATATAGAATACTACTACAATTGATAATTATTTTTTCTTCTAATTTTTGCAATTATAGATTAGAATTACTAAATAAGGTATAACAGAATGGACATCCTACAAATTATTCTATAGCAACAACAACTGCAATGAAATTTCTTTCAAAATTGCAACTTACAAAACGCTATTATCAATTTTATTTTTGGCATATCACCATCCCCAAGAAAATCCTTGACAATCCAAAGTACATCGTTAATTATTAAGAACAGGATTTCGCATTAACCAGGTGCAGAAGGGCTGAAACCGTCTTCCGGTTCATTCAAAGCCATGTTCGTACAGTCCGCATGGAATATTAATTATACTACAAATGATAATTATTTTTTCTTCTAATTTTTGCAATTATAGATTAGAATTACTAAATAAAGTATAACGGAATGAAAGACTAATTGAAGACATCCTACAAATTATTCTATAGCAATAACAACTGCAATGAAATTTCTTTCAAAATTGCAACCTACAAAACGCTATTATCAATTTTATTTTTGGCATCATCTCCAAGAAAATCCTTGACAACCCAAAGTACATCGTTAATTATTAAGAACAGGATTTCGCATTAGCCAGGTGCAGAAGGGCTGAAATCGTCTTCCGGTTCATTTAAAGCCACGTTCATACATGGAATATTATTTATAGAGTCGCTTGAAATGTTAACGCAACGGAACCAGGGGGGAAATGCATGCATTGTCAGGATTTAGCGCGTTGCCAAACGGCATTCCTGAATTACGTAATACCCATGGGCGCTTTCCGCATTCCCAGAAGCTCCTAACGCTTGAACCTACGGTTCCGGAAACGGGAAGCGCTCGCGTCGAGGGGACAGGCGAAGTAACGGTCCCAACTTCTTCCATATTGTTATGGAATCATGGCCTACGCCAGGAGAATCTGTTATCGACGCCGATCTCCCCCAACGGTGAGAACAAACAAGGGGGAATAAATTGAATTTTATGGCAGCGCCCGGGACGACTACCAACGAACGCCGAGATACACACGGTTTTAGGGAAAGAACATTCATTCCGGCGGCATCCTCCGACTCCTCTCTCTCTCTCTCTCTCTCTCTCTCTCTTTTTCTTTAATTCTGTCTCTGTGTTCCTTTCTTTGAGGAAATCCTGGACTACGTCTGCGACCTTATTGGATCTGCGACCGATGGCTTAATCAAAGGAATTCCTAAACTGGTTACTTCCCTTTGTGAAATTCGCTGGGATCTGTCACTAGATTCTACAAAAGTACAGTGCCCTCGGTGAGATGATACAATGTTACTTCTTTATTGGGTAATTTTTATTACAGATTTTCTGGGGACTGTTTTAGAGGGTTTGGTTATTTGTGGAAGACGAAGGAAGTAAATTCTCGTAGCGAGAAAATTGAGAGATAGCAAGAGCTCGAGAAATATCTTCTCGGACGCAGCAATGAATCAATACTGAGCTAAGCTTGTAATGCTAGAACACAATACAATACTGCTACAATCTGAATGTAAGCAGAACGTCGAGCTAATACAAATGTCCTTACAGTAATTCAGCACTCGACATTATCGAATGAATATCGCAATCGACTACAAATTTACCTAGACAACAATTTATGCGAATAAGATCTTGTTCGAACAAGAATTCGTCCGAATAAGAAGTTATTTGTTATTCGAATAAGAATCTACTTGTACGGGAATTAATTCGGGAAATAATCGATTCGAATAAATATGATAAAATATAGTCTTTTCTCGTGGTTCATCGATCAACTTCTTCGGAATAAATAACTGTACTCATTGTTTAATGCTTTTCAGGACAACAATTTATGCGAATAAGATTTTATTCGAACAAGAATTCGTCCGAATAAGTTATTTGTTATTCGAATAAGAATCTACTTGTACAGGAATTAATTCGGGAAATAATCGATTCGAATAAATATGATAAAATATAGTCTTTCCCCGTGGTTCATCGATCAACTTCTTCGGAATAAATAACTGTACTAATCGTTTAATGCTTTCCAGGACAACAATTTATGCGAATAAGATTTTATTCGAACAAGAATTCGTTCGAATAAGAAGTTATTTGTTATTCGAATAAGAATCTACTTGTACGGGAATTAATTCGGGAAATAATCGATTCGAATAAATATGATAAAATATAGTCTTTTCTCGTGGTTCATCGATCAACTTCTTCGGAATAAATAACTGTACTCATTGTTTAATGCTTTTCAGGACAACAATTTATGCGAATAAGATTTTATTCGAACAAGAATTCGTCCGAATAAGTTATTTGTTATTCGAATAAGAATCTACTTGTACAGGAATTAATTCGGGAAATAATCGATTCGAATAAATATGATAAAATATAGTCTTTCCCCGTGGTTCATCGATCAACTTCTTCGGAATAAATAACTGTACTAATTGTTTAATGCTTTTCAGGACAACAATTTATGCGAATAAGATTTTATTCGAACAAGAATTCGTCCGAATAAGTTATTTGTTATTCGAATAAGAATCTACTTGTACAGGAATTAATTCGGGAAATAATCGATTCGAATAAATATGATAAAATATAGTCTTTCCCCGTGGTTCATCGATCAACTTCTTCGGAATAAATAACTGTACTAATTGTTTAATGCTTTTCAGGACAACAATTTATGCGAATAAGATTTTATTCGAACAAGAATTCGTCCGAATAAGTTATTTGTTATTCGAATAAGAATCTACTTGTACAGGAATTAATTCGGGAAATAATCGATTCGAATAAATATGATAAAATATAGTCTTTCCCCGTGGTTCATCGATCAACTTCTTCGGAATAAATAACTGTACTAATCGTTTAATGCTTTCCAGGACAACAATTTATGCGAATAAGATTTTATTCGAACAAGAATTCGTTCGAATAAGAAGTTATTTGTTATTCGAATAAGAATCTACTTGTACGGGAATTAATTCGGGAAATAATCGATTCGAATAAATATGATAAAATATAGTCTTTTCTCGTGGTTCATCGATCAACTTCTTCGGAATAAATAACTGTACTCATTGTTTAATGCTTTTCAGGACAACAATTTATGCGAATAAGATTTTATTCGAACAAGAATTCGTCCGAATAAGTTATTTGTTATTCGAATAAGAATCTACTTGTACAGGAATTAATTCGGGAAATAATCGATTCGAATAAATATGATAAAATATAGTCTTTCCCCGTGGTTCATCGATCAACTTCTTCGGAA